CAGCAGTTAGCATTAATATTTTCATGCTATTTTCATTTGTGAGGTCTGTAATCCGTAAGAACAACCTAATAATGATTAAGTAAAATCAAAGAGATTTTGTAAACATCTGTATGCTTATACTGTTACAAGTGCTTCAGTATTAAAAGATCAATCAAAAGAGTAAAGGTATCCTGATTTAAACTTTTTCTGTGTTTGAATTAGAATGTTTCTCTTGGAATACTCTCATATCAGGCTTCCACTTGGCAAAATTATGAATTGGCTGATGTTGTTTTAGAGGCTTTCTTATGTCCCTTTCCCAACATCACTCTTCTCCTCTTTCCATGGACCCCTTGCTGTTACCTAGGAGCCCCACATTCCGTCTACTGAACAGTCATGTTCTGGACCCCTCAGAATCCCCCCTCTACCACTACAATATGTTTTTCCTAAGACTTACTTGCTTTGAAAGGCCTGCCAGGGAAGCAACTAATCTTATTATCTTGTACTAAATGTTAAATTAATCCTCATTCTCTCTAGAATTGTTTTCTAAGCAGGGATTCCTAGAGATGCTATCAACATCTCAGCCTGAAATTGCATAGGTATTCTGGTGAATAGCAATAGAAAATAACGAGTATAACTGGATCTTTTAGAAAAGTGAAGTCTATTGGGTCACCTTAGTTGACCGAGGCAATTGACGTAGGCACGCTCTTCTCCCTGAAATAATCTTCCAGGATAGGAATGCAGCCCCAAATAGCAACTGAAGATCCAATGGCTTCCCATTGCACTTGAACTCTATACTCCTTTTTATGACCAAAAGGGCCTGGCTTCTCCCTACCTGTCTCTTCCTTATACATTACACCATTTCCTTTTGTGTGTGAACATGCCAAGCTACCACCTCATTTCTACCTAAGGCCTGCAGTGTTATGTTCCAGTTCTTGGCATGCAAATTACTCTTCATCACTTGTTTCCCAACACAAATGTCACCTTTCCAGACAATCTAAAGTAACCTCAAAATCACTTGCTAGCACATCATCTTGTTTTATTTCTTCCTGGTATTAATTACTATGCGAAATTTAGTGGTTCATATATTTGTCCCCTTGCCTCTTCCAGGCCTCCTCCTACTTCATTGTCTATCATGTTCATCACTGTATCCCTAGTGTTTTACACATAACCTGGTAAACATTCAGTGCTCAATAAATATGTGCTAAATGAATAGATGAATCCAAACACAACCTTTATACTTAAGTAATTGAGTAAGAAGTCTTTGTTGTACTAATATTGGAAAAGCCAGGGGCAGGGGTGGTAACACTATACCCAATGTAACCAGCTTATTTATAAGACTTTTATTAATCATGAACGACAGCATTTTTTCATTAAAAATATTATCAATACTGGATTGTCAAAGATTCCATTTGCCTTTCTGAAAAACTGTCCTTTTGATGAGATATCACAGATGAATGCTAATGTCCCTTGAGGAATCCTGCCAACAGATCTTACTCTTCTGTCAATGTTAAGAAACTGCATTTCTCGGCCGGGCCTGGTGGCTCAAGCCTGTAATCTCAGCACTTTGGGAGGCCAAGGCTGGTGGATCACGAGGTCAAGAGATCGAGACCATCCTGGTCAACATTGTGAAACCCCGTCTCTACTAAAAATACAAAAAATTAGCTGGGCATGGTGGCGTGTGCCTGTAATCCCAGCTACTCAGGAGGCTGAGACAGGAGAATTGCCTGAACCCAGGAGGCGGAGGTTGCGGTGAGCCGAGATCACGCCATTGCACTCCATCCTGGGTAACAAGAGCGAAACTCTGTCTCAAAAAAAAAAAAAAAAGAAAGAAAGAAACTGCATTTCTCTTTGGCCAATTTCTAGGTTTATGGATGTGTAGTCTCTCTTGCTAGGACTTCAGAAGCCAATGAGCAACTTGCCTGTCACGAGATCCAAGGAATGATCTCTCCCTGCATGCCGTGTAGCTAAGGAGAGAAGCAGCTCTTGTAAGAGAATAACCAACACAGCATGGAATATTGCTAGACCTACAGTGTTTTATCCAGCAAAGTTCACCCAGTAGCCTGCACCTGCCAATAAAGCCTGAAAATTTTTTCTACCAGGCAGTCCCAGTTTAGTTGGTTGTAGCTTAGAAGCAGACACCTGAGAGCAGTTCAGCAAACCTGCAGTCAGATGCTTTTGTAGAGCTCTCCCTTTAAAAGGCAAAATTGAGGCAAATCAATAGATTACAACTTTCTGGGTTTGCTTCTGTCATCTATCAAGTATCACAATTCATCGTGCTTCATTAAGTGAAACTCCAAGGATTTGTTTTTAAAGGTGCCTTTCTTTCTGTGAAATATTAAATGAGCTTGTTTTTTAAAAACAAAAACAAAAACAAAAACAGGGCCGGGAGCGGTGGCTCATGCCTGTAATCCTAGCACTTTGGGAGGCCGAGGCAGGTGGATTACGAGGTCAAGAGATCAAGACCATCCTGTTCAACATGGTGAAACACTGTCTCTACTAAAACTACAAAAAATTAGCTGGGCATGGTGGCGCATGCCTGTTATCCCAGCTACTCAGGAGGCTGAGGCAGGAGAATTGCCTGAACGCAGGAGGCAGAGGTCGCAGTGAGCCGAGATCGCATCATTGCACTCCATCCAGCCTGCGTAACAAGAGTGAAACTCCGTCTCAAAAAAACAAAAACAAAAACAAAAACAACTCAACACAAGTTGATAGGAAATAAATAACATAACTTTTCCTTTAAGAAAAATATGTAGCAGGAGAAAAGATTATTTTTAAAGTACTACAAAAAAAAATTTTGAGACCACATGTCCTAGGAAAGCTTGATTATTAATCCTTCCAGAGAAACTGTTAACACTTAACTGCTATTCTTCAATCATTTCACTATCAAAGTAAACTTATTCAAGAAAATACAAACAATTCCATACTGGCCTACAAAACAAAAACTTTTTGGTGTTTTGGGGAGGGGGGAAGTAAAGGGGAGGTGTCTTTTTCATCAAATCTCTTATACAAGTTCATTCCATTAATCTGATCTCCTCTGTATCTTTTTGTGTTTCTGCCAAGATTATTAATTTCAAGGGTAAGATTTTCTCCAGCTACCATGTACTGTAAAACTGTAAAAATTTTTTCCACTTTTCATGGACCATTTGCAATCTGCAAGGTTTGGGGAGGGAATGAAATGTATTCCTGCCAATGGATAGCCACATCAGCAGTGCTGAAAACCAATCCTTCTGTTTCACTCATCATGCCATATGGCTCCACAAAAAAGGAACAAACCAAAAGTGTAGCTTATATGCCTTGTCAATCTGGGTTTAGACTAATTCTTTGATATTATGATAAAGAGAGGAAACTGTTTGTAGGTGAATATATTCTCCCTTCTTTCCTTACTCGTGTATCTCTATACCCATGCACTAATTCATTGGGTGGAAAATCAGAGGCTTAAAGCTCCTCTAATTTTACCGGAGCTATAATATTTTAAGAAAAGACGTTGCACTAAAATTGTCATACATAGGTTACCATTTCAACCAAAAGAATCCCAGGTGTTTTCATACTAATATCTTCTTAAGAATTAAAGATCATGATTTTAAACGCTTTCCAATAAGTGCTCTGAGTACTCCTGAGCAATTAAAAAGCAAGCTGACGCTCCAAGATAAAGTTGTGTCCCCCTAGTGACCTCTAGAGTGGAGCTAAGCTCCCACAAGCCAGACTTGGAAGGAAAAGCAAGAAGCACACCCAAACCTAGAGCGCTGCTGTAGCCCAGGCCAATGTATTCAGTGATACCCTTCATCCCTCAGCTCTCATCTGAGTTCCTGACCCTTTTTATATAACCCCAAAGGCGTAGTAAGTCGCTGCCTTCCGGGTCATTGGAGCCATTGTATTGAAATCCAACTTCGAACGACGCCCCTTCCTCGCCACCACCGTCAGGTCCAGCTCCCCCGTGCTCAGCCTTCCTCACCGTGCAGCTGACTTCCACTTCTCTGCAGTGCTGCAGACAACCTCTCCGACTCCACGAGTCCCCCAGCGAGAGGGAGGGAGCCTGCGAGCTGCGACCTCTACTAGTCGGCGCTGCGGGCGGGGGCGGCTTGCACCTGCTCCCCGTTCGCGCTCTTCGAGTCCTGTGGACCCCAGGCAGGACGCCGCCTAGGAGGCTCCTTCCCGAGTCACGGCCCGGACCACGCCGCAATGCCTCAAGTCACCCCAGGGACAAGCTCTTCCTTGTCCTCCCCACCATCGCTTCTCCCTGCGAACTTTCCAACTTTGGAAGCCCAGGTTCCAAAGGAGCAACAGGGAGACGGATTAGCCGGAGTGGCTGGGGAGCATGAAGTCGCCTGCAGGGACTCGGCCGGTTACAAGTCCCCTTGACCGTGGGGAAAAGGAGAGGCAGCCAGCTCCAATCTCCTCCTGAGGATGGAGGTTGGGGAAATGGATGCAGAACTTGTCACCCTAGGGACGAAGGGGCGGAGGGAGGGGGGATTGGAAGAAGAGAATAGACCATGAAAAACTCTCTCTTTTTCTCTCTTTCTGTGACACACACACACACACACACACGAGAGAGAGAGAGAGAGAGAGAGAGAGAGAGAGAGAGTCAGAGAGAGAAAGAGAGAGAGAGAAAGAGAGAGAGAGACAGAGAGAGACAGAGAGAGAGAAAGAGAGAGAGAGAGGGATGTTCCGGAAAGGACGCTAGGATAGGATCCGAATCTTTTCTCTCCCCACTGCCCAGAGGCAAGTAGGTGCAACAGATAGATACCCAAGCTAGCTGAGTAGCAAAGGGGTAGGGTGAGAGAGGAGTCTCCAGGTTTCCCCAGGTTGCCAAAGGGGCACAAACTCCTGTCGGAGTGTCCCCGGAGGCCAGGGGAGGTGCAGCAGCGCCGCGGTTGTCCCCACCCCCCCACCCCCGACAAGGCAAACTCTTCCCCGGCAGGAGCCTTCCACTTGGCAGCGCCTGGATGTAAACAGGCCGGCCCGAGGGGCAGGCGGCAGGCGAGAGACGGGAGGCGGCGAGGGGAGGAGGGAGCGGTACTCACCCTTGATGCTGGGGGGCTTTCTCTTCTGGGCCATCTTCTGCCCCCTTCCCTCCCCCAGACCCCCCACGCGCTTCCTCCGGCTGCTCCCGGGCGCGCCCTCGCCGCGGCTCTCCGCTCAGCGAGCTCTTTGTTGCTGTGATGGCATCTGCGAGGCAGCTGCGGCGGCCGGGCTGAGCGCTCGGCTTGGCTCGGCTCGGCTGGGGCGGGCGCCGCCGCCCCTCTGCTCTCGGCCGCGCCGCGGGCCCCCAGCTCGCGCTGCTGTGGACGCGGTGGCTGCAGCGGCGGCAGCTGCTGTGCTGCTCCTGCTGCTGGTGGGGGCAGCGCTGGGTCCCCGGAGCTCCCGCCCAGCGCTGACCTCCCCCTTCCCCACACTCTCCCTCCCCCACGCCCCCACCCCCGTTGTCCCGTCTGAGCCGCCAGCCCCCATCCAACCGGCGACGGCGCCGTCATCCAGCAGCCGCTACTGGGAAAGACCACGGTGGTGGCGGCGGGGAGCTGCTGGGGGGCGCGGGGAGACCGCGGCCATCTGGGGCCGGGGAGGAGAAAGCCAGGCAGTCTGCTGGAGTCCGCGTCCGGCCTGCCAGACTCCGGGCCTTCCAAGCCCCCTCCCAAAAGGCCAGGACGCGCTGTGCCCGCGAAAGACACCAGTCTTCACAGGCCAACCAGAACTCCGGCCACCTGCGGGAGGACGGCGCGGTCCCGCGGGACCCGGCCGCGGAGCAGTCCTCCACCGCAGCCGCCCCGGGGAGAGCGAGCCCGAATGCCACGCGGGCTACAAGCCCAGAGGCGCGCGGTTCCCTCTGCCCCTCCCGAACCGAGAAGGGAAGAGGGGAGAGGGAAACAGGAGGCTGATGGAGAGGAGAGAAATGGAATTCCAGAGGCGGCCCACTGGCAGACACCTGCAAGAATGGCTTTGTTCTGGCCCTGAAGGTCTTAATAGTGAGGGCACAGGAGAGTTCCCTTGGAGCTGTGGGCAAAGAGGAAAGTAAGTTCACGCTCTCAGGTGCTGGAGGAATTGGGAGCCGGAGGTGTGATTTTTTGGCCTCTAGCAGAAACTTGGTTGCAGTGTCCGCGTTCTTTCTCGCTCTGATTGGGGGTTCGCTTTGGAAAGTTTACATTTTTCAGGAGGAGCTATCCTCCTCTCGCGTGCTGATAAGAGATGAGAAGAAGAAATCCTGCCGGTGTCCCAGGACTGCCAGAGCAGGCGGAAGTTTAACAACGTAAAGGAGTAGCGGGCCTTAAAAGAATGGCTTAAACGGTAGGGTAGGAAGGGGTGACCAGAGTCTGCCACTGTGGGGAGAGAATACATAATCGATTTTTTTTTCATATGCTGTAGCTGAGATTACCACCAAAACGCACTTCCTAATTCGCAATGACCTTAACGCTTCTCCTTTCCTCCTCCTAAATTAGTACAGTTCCCAACCCAATCTGATTGTATAAACAGGGAGTTGATTCAATATCTCCATCCAGTAGTTGTCCCAGTACCAGTGTGGTGCAGCAGAAAGAACAGTGGAATCCAGAACCCAATTTTGAATTCTGCCCCTGTAACTTCATAGCTCTGAGAATTTGGACAAGTCTTTCAATTTCTCTGCTCTTCTGTTTTCTGATCTGTATAGTATCATCTCTAAAATTCCTGCTCCTGATATTAGTCACAAAATCATCACGTTATTTTTTTCAGCCTTTCTAAATACAGCTTCATATAACGTAATATACTTAAGTAAATAATCTAGAAACATGTGAAATAACCAGTTCCTCTCACGATGAAGACATGCATCAGAAATTTAAAAAAGAACATGTCTAATAAGCAAAATAGGTCCGTTCTCAGACCAGAAATAAGACTCAAAGTTTTTCTCTTCCAAAAAGCTGCCTCTTATTTAACTAAAAACTACTCTTCCAGGTCTTCAAATGTTTACTGTATATAAATATTAGACTTTGTAAATATTTTTAATCCATTTATGTGCCCATATTTTATCACTGACTACTAATTACTCCCTATAGTAAAATAATGTTTTTCCATTTATTCATTACTTTCACATACTTTATTTCATTTAATCATGACCACAGCCATGAGTTGAAAGTGAGTCCTGTCTTCTAGGTTTTACAGATAGTGAAATGGGATTCGTGGAGGTGTGATAACTTGCCCACAACTTCAGTGTAACTCTTTTTGTTTGTTTGTTTTTTTAGATAGAGTCACGCTCTGTGCCTGAGAGTCTGGAGTGCAGTGGTGCAATCTCTTCTCACTGCAACCTCTGCCTCCTAGGTTCAAGCAATTCTCGTGCCTCAACCTCCTGGGTAGCTAGGATTACAGGCACCAGCCACCACACCTGGCTAAATTTTGTATTTTAGTAGAGACAGGGTTTCACCACATTGGCCAGGTTGGTCTCAAACTGGTGACATCAGAAGGAAGGAAGGAAAGAGAGAGAGAGAAAGAAAGAGAGAAAGGAAGGAAGGGAAGGGAAGAAAGGAAAGGTGCCATAAAAATCCAGTATTATGACTGTATGGGACCACCGTCATATATTCAGTCTATCATTAACTGAAATATCATTATTCAGCGTGTTACTGTATAGTTGTACTTGAGCAAGGGAAGGGGACTGTAGAGAACTGACAGAGCATGTACCACTAGTCAGCTGCAGGAGGCCTTGTGGGAATAAAAATCTCAAGGGTGCAAGAATTCTGATTTTTCAGGAGCCAGGAATCAGATTTTTGGTGAAATATTCTTTGTGATGTTGATTCATACATAAAACAAAAACAGGGTAGGCCTAACAGAACACATCTGCCAATAATATGTGAACTATGAGCTATGTGTCTGTGTATCTGTTTTTAAATTTCATCAATTGCTTTTTACCTCCAGACAGCAAGCACTGAACCAATTTCTTGAGTATGATTGTAATTCTGATGGCATGTACATGTCCCTAGAATTAGAGGTTATCAAGGCACCCGGTACAATTAATTACAATTTATAAAAATGATTTGTGGGATAGGTATTTCTAAATTTCCAGCTGTTATACTTTTAAGTTCTGGGATACATGTGAGAACGTGTAGTTTTGTTACATAGGTATACATGTGTCATGGTGGTTTGCTGCACCCATCAACTCATCATCTACATTAGGTATTTCTCCTAATGCTATCCCTCCCCTAACCCCCAACCCCCTGCTATCCCCTCCCCTATCCCCCAACCTGTGGACAGGCCCTGGTGTGTGTTGTTCCCCTCCCTGTGTCCATGTGTTCTCATTGTTCAATTCCCACTTGTGAGTGAGAACATGTGGTGTTTTGTTTTCTGTTCTTGTGTTAGTTTGCCGAGAATGATGGTTTCCAGCTTCATTCATGTCCCTGCAAAGGACATGAACTCATCCTTTTTTATGGCTGCATAGTAATCCATGGAGTATTTGTGCCACATTTTCTTTATCCAGTCTATCATTGATGGGCATTTGGGTTGGTTCCAAGTCCTTGGCTATTGTGAACAGTGCTGCAATAAACATAAGTGTGCATGTGTCTTTATAGTAGAGTGATTTATAATCCTTTGGATATATACTCAGTAATGGGATTGCTGGGTGAAATGATATTCTGGTTCTAGATCCTTGAGGAATCACCACACTGTCTTCCACAATGATTGAACTCATTTACATTCCCACCAACAGTGTAAAAGCGTTTCTATTTCTCCACATGGTCTCCAGCATCTGTTGCTTCCTGACTTTTTAATGATTGACATTCTAACTGGTTATGAGATGATATTTCATTGTGGTTTTGATTTGCATTTCTCTAGTGACCAGTCATGATGATCTTTTTTTCATATGTTTGTTGACTGAATAAATGTCTTCTTCTGAGAAGAATCTGTTCATATCCTTCACTCACTTTTAGACAGGATTTTTTTTTCTTGTAAATTTGTTTAAGTTTCTTGTAGATTCTGGATATTAGCCCTTTGGCAGATGGGTAGATTGCAAAAATTTTCTCCCTTTCTATAGGTTGCCTGTTCACTCTGATGGTAGTTTCTTCTACTGTGCAGAAGCTCTTTAGTCTAATTAGATGCTGTTTATCAATTTTGGCTTTTGTTGCCATTGTTTTTGGTGTCTTAGTCATGAAGTCTTTGCCCATGACTATGTTCTGAATGGTACTGCCTAGGGTTTTTATGGTTTTAGGTCTTACATTTAAGTCTTTAATTCATCTTGAGTTAATTTTTGTGTAAGATATAAGGAAGGGGTCCAGTTTCAGTTTTCTGCACAAGGCTAGAATTTTTGGCCATTCTTTAAGCCATCAATGAGAATGATCACAGTAAATCCAATAATTTTTAAGTCACATTTGGTTCTTCTGGGCACAATGACACATATTTTTTCTGATAGTGATGACAAAGCTTTGACAATAAAGATGATGACAAGGACAAAACTGGTCTAATCTTTATGTTTTTGTAGAATGATTCTGAATGAACCCTTTTGAAAAGTAGACAAAGAACTAAAACGGTAACACTAGTTATATGTAGTATAATCATTATTGTTAGATTATTCTAGCCATGTCAAGACTACCCATAAAGTGAGAAATAGTCAGAATAAGGAAAGGAATACATGTTCCTACATGGAAGTATTAAGTAAGGTCAACAGGATAAATGAACGTATACAAATTATACTAAAGACCAAAATGAAAATATAATTCATAGTACACAAAGCATGATTCCCATTAATGTATGTTAATGCAATTGCAGTGAAAAGGTAGAAAAATATGACCCACAGAAGAGTATTTTTGGCTGATATATTTTACATTGAATACCTATACATAAATTAACTACTGTAGTTTAGAGAAAAATAAAAAGAACAAATATCCCACTGATTTTAGTAATGTTATAACAACAAAGGATGTCAAATGATCCAAACTTGCTCCACTGTTAAAAAAACACATTGTATTTTAAATTTTTATACACACAAAGAAATAATAATATTCACCTCAGGTAAGGATTTTAGGGACTCTACAATTCTTACATGAAAGGTAAAAATAGAAATAATAGTAGAAAGAGAATAAGATCAGCCAACTATGTAGCGTATTTTTTAAAAAAAATTCCTTGTGACACTTACAGACTTAATCAACATTTTATAAAGGGGTGGAGAAACAGAGGTTGGCTTCCTAACCCATGCCACACACCACTATGGACACATGAGATTTAAATAATACTTCTCTTTTTTACTGATAGCAGGCTAACACAGATACTGACTATAATAAAATTTCACCTGAATTAAACAGAAGGTCCTAGGATGAGACACTGTAGAATTTTTATATCTTTACCCCATTCTGATGATCACATTGATGATCCTTACC